GGGGGGGGGGGAGAGAAGGAGGGTGAGGGTGAAACGAGTAGCAGGGGTAAGGGGAGGGAGGGAGGGATACGTCGGCATCGGCTTGACAGGTGACAACCGATCGGGCCACTGACGTCACAGATCACTCGGCCGGGCACGCGCACGCACGCACAGACGACTTACGCGATTCGCACCGCGACGTGCATGAGGTCGGGCTGTCGTGCGTCACACTCGCGTATACCCGTGCACCACCGACGGACACGCACACACGCACACGCGTCATCCGTCTCGCGATCTCTTTTACGACACGTCACGCCGCGTGAGAAAAAGAAATCTCACGAGCGTGAGACGAGTACGGGACGCGACGGACGGCGGGGATGAAAAGACGGCGCGGAGACGGTAACCAGGTGAAAATAGGAGAAGAGAGACGAGAAAGAGAGAAAGAGGGAGGAAGAGAGAGAGAGAAAGGGAGAAGGAGAGAAAAAGAGATGAGAGAAGCGAGAGATGAGAGAAACGTGTAAACCGAGGTACGAGAAGAGGGTGAAAAGTGGGAGACATAGGACGGAGAGGAGCGAGGACGGAGACGCGCGAGAATTTTTCGTGCGGCCGGGTAAAAATTTCGGGTGGAAAAAACTCCAAGGGTATTTACCAGGTGTTAACCGGCCGATGATGATATAGCCCCCGCGCGCGGCGCCTCTCTATCTGGTTACCATTACACTCGGATGTATGAAATGCGCCAGCGGCATACAACCATCCCCCCACAATAGCCCTATTTATGATTGGGCAAAATTGCTTTCCATGCGCAGAATAAAATCTCGCGCGCGGGTCCAGGAAAAATCCGCGGGGCGCGACGGGACGACACGCCGCGCCGGTTTCTCGCCGGCGCGTCGCTCCGCCGCGGCCCGCCCCGGTCGAGAACGGCCGGACAGGTCGGCGTGCACGGCGATGGGGCCGCGGGCGTGTCGGGACGCGCGACACGTCGTCGTTTTCCGCCGATTTTTCTCGCCGTGCACACTGCCGAGATTCGCGACAAATTAAATATGGTCTGCCGCGGTCACGTGCGCACGCGGCGCTGCGGTCACCGTTCGTTCGGCCAATCGCGTCTCGGAGCGAGCCTGGTTCGCGAGGGCGCCGCTGTGTCGCGCCACGCTCGCCCCGTCGCGACGCGTAGACATGGTTAGAATCGCCGACAGGTAAGAATTCGCTCTTTTTTCCCTCTCTCACCTTGCCGCGATTCCGCCATCCCGTCGCGAACTCGGCGCACTTTTCCGCGTCGAAACCGCTCGGTCCGACGTCCCCCGTCTTCGTCGGGTGCACCGCCGAACGGGCACCTCGTCACCCTGTAACGACAGACGCGAGAAGCACGAGATGATTATTCGTCCGTCGCAACGCTCACGTCACGCGACGCAACGCGACGCAATGCGGTTCTCACCCTCGGCGAGGCGACGGCCGAAATTAGTCGGCGACGAGTGACGGCTCGCATCTTCGCGTCGGCACGTATTCGAACTCGATCCTCGCCTCCCGCTGCTCTCCGAAAATGACAGATGCGCCAGGCCCGCCAATCGCGCGCACGAAAGTCCCCAGCGCGGCTCACCAGGGCGGCGCGACGGTCGGGCTCACGTTGGCGACTGTGGACGTGACGCTTGCGACCTCGCGACGCTCACGACGAGCTGTCTGGCTGGTGGCGAGAGACGAGGGTGGCAAGCCAGTTGGCAACAGACTGTCGAGTGGGTCGTCCGAGAGAGCGAGCGAGCGAGCGAGCGCGCGCGTGTGTGTGTGTGCCTCCGTCGTACGTCGCTGCTGCGGAGCTTCGAGACGCGGCGCCGTTGTCCGCTCGTCTGCCGCGGGGGCTATCGTGATCTGAGCGACGCTGCGTCAACGAACAGGCGGCACGGCTGCCATGGGGCTGGTGGACGAGATCATTTGACCCACGGGAACGACTCCAGGCTCGGTGGGATCGTCGTGCTGCCTCCAGTGAGAGCTGCGAATCGGTAAATACGTGCGCGCGACTTGTCATCGTCACTCGATTATTGCCATTGTCATTGTCCGTCGACGCGACTCTCTCTCCCATCTGGTCGCCGTGACAGCCAGCTCGTTTCAGCTGGCCCGTCGCCTTCTCCGTCGCCGTGGCGTGACGCGAGGGCGCTCCTAAGGAGAAAGCGTTTCCCCGCGACCGCAATCGCGGGTTCGATTCATCGGACTTTCGGCGAGTGCACGCTCTCGCAGTGCGCGAGGCGACACGCGAGGACCCGAGTAGATACTTTACTGACGTGCCCGATTCCTCCCCGATCAAGGCTGAAGACGCGCGACCGACACGCGGAATTCGTGCCAGGCTCTCCGCTCGTCGTATTCTCGATTATTCTCGCGCGGACAGCACTCATTCGAGAGACAATGGGCTCGAGGAAGAGAAAGAGACACGCGCACACACGGCATCGTTCGTCATCGAGTTGCATCAGCTGTGTGGCACACACCGCGTCTCTCGGTGCGGGGGGGAGTCTCTCGCACGCGCATTTCCTTTCGTCCGCGAGATCCTTATCGGGACTTTATTCGCGCGACCACCTGAACCTGCCCCCTTCGAACAGGATGACACGGGGATGACGCCCGATGACGCGAGTCTCCGTCGGGATTTCGTCATCGTGCACGCATGACGCAAGGGCCGCACCGTCACATCCACGTCCCTTCGAGCCGAGCTCCAGCTGTTTGTGACAGCTCGCGGAGGGAGCACCTTTGTGTCCGCTCGTCGTCCGTTCGCCCAGCCAAGACTGACTATTATTTGTCCCCCTTGCCCCACACATGTCCTCCTTTCCGGCTTCGGGTTTCGCGGCTGGATCCCGTCTGGCCCAGCGGAGACCGCCCTTCGGCTTAACCCTTTCATCCCTTCGCGACGTTTCATCCCTCGGAGTGAAAATAATGAAAGGAGAGAAGCACTCGTCGACGGCGAATTGAACGTGCTTCAGGTCGCGCATTGCGACGAGAGGGCGCATAAAAGTACGTAAAGAGGCAGGGGCTTTGTTTGCACGAGCGGAAAGAGCGTGGAAATCGCAGGCCGAGGTAAATTCTGTTCTCCTTTTTCCTTCCCAACGGACTTTGAGACCGCATGACGTGGACACGCATTACGTGTGTGAATACACGATCGAACGGTTTCGAGCGGACCGCCGGTCTACTTCGGCGCGGAATTAAGACGCTTGTTTCGAGTGTGATAAACAATCGCGCTCTGATAATATCAGCACACCCGAGTACTTGCGAAACTTCACCGTAACTTTGCCTCGGGAACAACGGAGGAGAAAGAAAGAGAGAGAGTGAGAGACTAATTGCTCACATATTCATGCTGTAAATCAACCGCGAGAGCTCCCCGTGGGTGTCGCGCGAATATCGTTGCGCGTTGAAAAATGAGTTCCCTTGGATACCTGACGACGAGCTACGTTCGATTTTGCGAATCGGAGACGTCGGTTTGTTCTTAAAATCCATCTCAAGATAATACTTAGCCAATAAAGCCATTTTCCCAAAGCAGTCAGAACAAACCGATTTCTCCGATTGGCAAAACCGAACGCAGCTTACAGTTTCCTCGAGCTTTTGAACTTGCCGAACGTCCCCCCCTCTCCCGCGGGATGATCTGTAAATCAGCGTCTGTCTCGAAGTCTGAAAAATGAATTTGGGTAGATCCATCTGACAGTGAACAGCCAAACGAGTTTTGGTTGGAAGGGAACAAAATTTATTTCTTGCAACCGGAAATTCCTTTTTCTTTCAACCAAAAAGCGTTTAGCTATCCATTGTCAGGTAGATCTATCTGAATTCATTATTCAGTATGATTTCAGATGTGAGACAGACTCTGATTTATAGATTATCCCGTGGAAGAGAAGGACGTTCGGCAAGTTGAAAAGTTCAAGAAAATTCGCTATTCTTTCTACAACCAATTGTTACCTGAGAGTCCTTCCGACCAACAAAATTCATCGAGGGCAACATTTACCCGTGAAATTGTGCGAAACCATGAATCTGAGAACGAGGATATCAGACAACACATCACGGAATCCTCAGCTAACGAGTAACGGGCCAGCGGAGGTCTTGGGACCCTTGGGCCCTTTACGGCGAGCCCTTTACTCTCTGTCTCTCTCTCTCTCTCTCTCTCTCTCTCTCTCTCTCTCTCTCTCTCTCTCTCTCTTCTTCCCTTCTATCCTCTCTTTCCTTCTTTTTTTCGTATTTTCTCCGTCTCTCTCTCTCTTTCTCTCTCCTTCTCGCCGACCTTTGTCAAAACACGGGGGCGTCGTCTTGGTCCGAACGTTGAACCTACGTTGTTTTGGATGAATACCTAAAAAAAATTCAAGGCGAGGCCTCTAAGCCGGATGCCAGCCTCGGCTCCTTGTTCTTCCTCGCACAAAATTTTTGAACTTTGGCACAGCGGGACTTCTGGCAAATTTCGCGGAACAAGCGGGTCCTTTAATTTCGCCGTTTGTAGCTTCGAATTGGCCTGCGAAAATGTAGTCAGTCAATTAGGACGGTTGCAACACTTTTATCTCGATGAGTCCTTCGCAACGCATCTCGTGTTCACTAGGAAAATATGTTTCCTGAGAAATGTTGAGGAACGCATTCTTTTATTGGACGCGGGATGTGTTCCGAAGCTTAAGGGAAAAAGTGTAGCAACCGTCCTGTGACCGACTGTACATCGATTTCGATGTCCTCGTTGGAGAAAATGTCAGATAGATTATATAAATATTCAAGAGTCGCGCGAAAGCGCGTCTTAACGCACGTGCGAATAACGTGGTTCCGCTTTAACAAAGTCCATCTCGCGTGTCGTGTGGACGAATCTATATCGATAGAGAAAAAATCATTTCTCTTTTTCTCTCATTTTTTCCCTCTCTTAATAAGTATCTTTGTCCGCACACACGGATAGAAAATTATAGTTAATTTCGACGTCGAACATATTTTATGATAGTAGCAACATAAGATTGTTATCACTGACATTATAGTAATACTTACTAGAAAAATCCTTCCCCCGAGTCTTTTTGCGGCTAAAGGGTATGTTTGGCGGCGCAATTAACTATAATTTCCTATCAGTGTGGAACAATCGGAACGACAGCTTTCTAAAGCGCCGACTAAAAGTAAGAGCCCGACTGGTGTTCTTCCGAAGCGTTGAAGAAAAAAGCGTCACGCGAGAGGGCCGCGCGCGCGTGTCCACGTGAGTTAAAATTGCGAATCGGCCTTGGTGGCGAGTGCCTATAAATACGAGGTTCGCTTATAGGCGACCCGCGACCGAAGGTGCAGCAGCGCACGCGTTGCACCGTCGTCGTCCCTCGGCAAGGCTGCGCGCTGGGTAGGAAACGCGCTTTGTCGCGCTCTGTCCTCCGGCTCTTACGCTCATTACGTAAGAGACCGCGCGATATCAGGATACGCGACGTCTCACACGCAGGTATACAACGCGCGCGCGGATCATGCGCCGGCATATCTCCCAGATTTGGACCTACGATCGGCGCGAATTGTGATTTTGCCGTCGACACGTTCGCCACCGGCGTCACGCGCGCGTATGACGCACCGATCTCTCCCGCACGGGAAAAAAATTATACACCGAAAGATAGAAGTGTTCAAGTGAATAATTAAACATTTGTCGAGGAGTATTGAGAAGTAATTATCTCGCTTGAATGACGGAGTAAAATAATTAGCTGACACAGCAAATTTTATGCTGCCACAGCGAACTGTCGGTTACTATGTGGGCAAAACTGTCTGTTAAAAGTACTAATTGCCATTCGCTGGATTATTTTGAATCTACAAATCATCTTGTTGTACAAATAAATTAGTGAATGTAGGAAAATACTGTATTGCTGTAATAGTGAATTAACGTATCTTAAGGACAAATCCACCCAGCAGAATTTTTTTCATTCTGGCATCAAATCTGTTTCTGCTCTGAGTACGAATAATTCGCATTATTTGGTTATGCCAATTTAGTTTTCGCAATCACTGTCGCGACGAATACGTAGTGGTAACAATAGTTCTGCTTCAATAGCAAAGTGATTTTTCTTCATGATTAATTAAATAATATTATATGAATGTAGCGAACATACTGAAAGAAAAAAATCATATCCAAATAATACTTAATCCAAGTAAAATAATAAATTAACTCTTTGACAAATATTTACTTGAATGTAGCGCTTTTTTCTCTCAGTATGCAACTGAATTTTTCTACCGTCCGGGTGCCAGAAGAAAACTCAATTGTAGGAACAAAAGAAGATTTTATATTTAAAACAAAAGAATTCCCCGAGGAGATTCTGTTTCAAAGTCAATTGTTTCCGGTTATTTATCGTTATTTATCTCGGTTTATTTATCCCGGTTATTTATCTCAAATTTGTCAACATTTATTTAGGTTGATTACTAATTTCACTTCACTTTCTCTCGACCGAGTTTTAACGTAGACGAGTGTTTAGACGAATATTTTCGGTTGCAAAAACAAAGATATCGTCGCGGCGTTTTCGATCATTTTTCTTCCTATTTGGGAAAAGAGAATTAGCTATCCATATAATACAACTGAAATTTAGTTAGTAGACTTTTTAGCCACGGGAGCTGAAAACTAGATACAAGGACAAGGACAACAAGAATTAACTAAATTAACTTAATTTCAGTTTATGGATAGCTGATTTTTACCTATGAGAGCTAGTTTTTTTTTTTATTGTGGGAACTACTTCTTTCTTCCGCATATGTGACCACGTAACCGGACAAAGTCCGTTTTACAATGTTTTAATAACGTAAAGAAATATCTCAAAATGATTATCGAGGAGAGGTCGATAAATGAATCGTGATGACGAACGTGTTCGGGTTGCGCATGTCAAGACATCGGTTTATAGCTTGAGTTACAGATTATTATGTAGGCACCGAGACATAAGTTTCGACTTGTTAAGACTTGACTTGCGCTTCAAGAATTAGAGACGGTCTTTGAGTTTGAGATGATTTTCACAAATCTTCTTTCCTCGCCGTCCGCCAATTTCAGTCAATTTTCAGGTAAAAG